ATTTTGTTAGAAAAGTTAAAATTCACTTCCACACACATCGAAGTTTCGATCACCACTAAATGACGAAGTTGACCGAACTGAAGTTGTGGGCGAATATAGCGCTGCGCTCGCGCTCTTGTCGAATGGCTTTTTTGTGAGCGCGTGCGACTTCTGTCCGCTGTGTAGGCGTAATAATAACGTATAGTTATCTCGCTCGCGCTCGTTTGTCCCGCGGAGCTGTCTCGCTCTTTACTGGAAGACGGCAAGCGAACATACCGCCATCTAGCCAATTCAACTGTAACTATGAAGCCATTCATTAAGTGCGGCACTGATTAATCGGTTTAGAAACAAAGTGTCACCAGTAAGGAATGAAATAGTCATTTAGATGGAGATATTAATAAAGGTAACAGTTAAAAGGTTTGGAAACTTGGTAAATTAAGATAATAACTTTGCATACAAGAATGTCCCTACGAATTTGATAAAATATTTTTTAAATTAAAATATTAAAAATGCATGTCTGTCGCTTTTCAATCACTGATCTACCTAAATACAAAAATATTTTTTTCTAAATAATGTTTCATATTCCAGGAATACATTGTATTAATTAAAAAAAAGATAAGATTATCACTAACTTTTAACAAATATTTATGTCTAAAATAAAACATTTAATTATTATTGTGCATAGTTTATTTTGTTTGCAGAATATTCAGCGTAACCATTCTTCCATTCAATATAGACGTAAAGCAGATAACACACCCTATTACCTTAGAATTTAATTAAGAACCTATAATTTCAGCGAAACATACTGTGGCGAAGCTATGGGAATAAAGCACAATTTGCAGCAAGTTCTAACAGATTACTTTGATAATCTTAACGCCTTTAATTTATTATTTAATTATGTCGATAAACGCAGACTCGCGGCCCCAATAAAATACGTTTTTAACTGAAGCTGCACATTTGATCAATTAAAATCACCCGAGTTAGTTACGTTTTATCAATTTCGTTAAAAGGATAAATGGATAATTGACCCCTATCCGATGTTCTTGGTGGATCTATCGAATTAGACGAATTAAGCAGAGATGGGGTTCCACGTTCTACATTCCAGAAACAAATAGGTAAATACGTATACGAGCTATTTGTGGAATTGTCCATTGTGCAAAGATCTTCAGTAAATAGAGGTTAAGTTGTTTTTTTTTTGTCTACAGTCTTGTCTTTTTCTGTAGACGGTAATTGAATCTACTACTTATTCTTATAGGGGTGGATTCAACCAAACAAAAGTAACACATTTGCCATGTGTTTCATGCTAATTGTTTTGTTTGTATCTTCGTGTTATTTTTACATTGTTGTACGTTTGTTACCTGAAAAGGCTGCCGACCGTCGTGAGGAAAGCCTTTCGTTAGACAGTCAGTACGCAACCTCGGTACCGGTCGGACGTTTGAAGGCCCGGGTAATCTCAGAACAAATCGTCAGTTTTGACATATTTCCCATACTGAAACTGTCAATGTGCCAGTTATACCTAGGGTTGCCAGGCGTCCGGCTTTAGCCGGACATGTTTGGCTTTTTAGGGGCTTGTCCGGCCAAATATTGTCTTGTCCGGCCTGTCCGGCTTTTGTTAGGCTTTTTATGTGGCTGCCGCGCCAGTCGAAACTCGAGCCACAGAATAATGTTCATTCAAAGATGATAGTACCCACTCACGAGCTATGACGCTTATTATGGNAGCTATTAAAAAGGTATTTCCGGCTTTTAGGGTAAAATGTCCGGCCAAATGAAGCACAGAGTCCGGCTTTTGTGTTTTTGGACCTGGCAACCCTAGTTATACCAGGAGTTATTCTCGAATAAAAGTTTGGTCAAATCGGACCTTAGTCGTTTTGGATAATTTCCATTAATCGTGATTTTCAACCGACTTCAAAAAAGGAGGAGGTTCTCAATTCGACCCGTATGTTTTTTTTTTCTATGTTTGTTACGCGATAACTCCACCAATTATGAACCGATTTGAACAAATCTTTTTTCGGCGTATAGGTAATACCTCAAGGGTGGTCCCATTTAAATTTAATAATAAAAAAATAACCCCCAAGGGTGGAAAATTGGGGATGAACTTTTTTATACGCAATATCTCCGCCGATTATAAACCAATTTGAACGATTATTTTTTTGTTGATTAGGTATTATCAAAAGGGTGGTTTCATGCGAATTTGAAGAAAATATTTCACCCCCAAGGGTGGAAAATTGGGGATGAACTTTTTTATACGCAATATCTCCGCCGATTATCTTTATGACAAACAGAATTCATGTGAGAAAAGTTTCCGTTTTTTATTAATACATAGTTATGTCTAATTGAATCTACTTTATCTGGTTTAATGATGCAGAATATTATTAAAACAAACAGTTTCGCTGCAAGGAAGACGTATGTTCCTCAACTTAGCAGAGGTAATTACTATGGCGACTAGATAAAGGGCAAACATACTTAGTTTGACTAGATAAGATACTAATGAACACACTAATAGATTGTCTATGGATACCACCTAGGACATGCCCAAATGGTCCAGAGTGGTGTCCAATAATGAGCTCTAGCTAATTACACCTACAGGATTCAACCCAGCAACCGCAACTAGCACTGAAAAGCTACCACGCTTGTAGGCCTAGGATACGCGCCACGATAAGCGTTTATCGCACCAATTTGTCGATTTTACGTGATAGGCACATACATTTACCGTCTGAAATCATCGATACAATTTTATCACGGTGGCGCACATCCTAGCCCGGCTGGGCGTCGAATAATGTATTTATTATTTTTCATATCGAGGTATTTGTATCAGCATACTGCAAATATTAAACCAGTTACGTGCTTAGTATGCCAAGATGCTCCTGTCTCTTCTTATTTAGATAAACGTTTTTCCCTTAAATACATAATGGGCACCATTAGCTAACAAGGCGGCTAAAGTGAACTGAATGTACTGCGAAATGTTAAAGGAATTTAAAATCGTTTTATGACGACATTTTTCACCGATAGTCAGGTCCGACTTCCATAAACGCATCGCGATTATGCGGCCGATCCGACTATGGAAGCTCGCTAGAGCCTAATTATCTAAACGCAAAACACGAATATACGAAGACATAAAATGATCAAACAACTATATTAAAGTTTTTCTGGATTATCACAGTGAACAAAGTAGAATTTCTAGTACTCATATCACCTCAAAACCATTTCTTTATAATTTGTTCACCCAAGTGATATCACCCAGGTGAACAAAGTGGAATAATCCAGTTTTTCTTATTACAAGCTTTTTATTACTTTCACATGTCTGGTGTCTGTCGTCAAATCTTGCAACTTAAAATTGACCCACTTCCCGGTTTCCTATTGAGCTGAAATTTTGCATACATGTGTAAGTCCGATGACAATGCAATATTATGGTACCATTGAGCTGGTCTGATGATGGAGTCGGGAGGTGGCCATAGGAACTCCTAAACAAAACGGCGGAAACTCATCGAGTTTGGGTTCGTTGGATTTGTCTTTTCGAGCACTTTAGTGTTAGATAACGTCCAGGGTCCTGAGATTAAGATATAACTAAAAAGTGTAAAATAAAATTATAATAAAAATAAACTTTTTTAAAAACAAGCTTTTATTCTGAATTTCGAAAGCTTGTAGCGCAAACAGAGAAAAAGAGGAATAAATTCCATGCGCGATACAAACTTTCGAAATTCAGAATAAAAGCTTGTTTTTAAAAAAGTTTATTTTTATTATAATTTTAGTTCTTAGTACTTCCTAGTTTATTTAGATGTTTTCGGGAGTAAGACCGGTGAACGCTCATCACGCTCCGTGAAGCACAAAATGCGTCGGATGTAAAAATGTATGTTCAAGAAAAAAACAATAGCGTTCTAAAATGACACACTAGTTATGTTATTTAAAATCTTAAAGGAAATATTAATATGAATTTGTATGCACTTAGTTAGTTCCGCAACACATCTACATAATATCGTATGATTATGAAATATTTTTAAAATCCTCTGTAAGCATTCGTGCTTCGACAGACATGCTGAGAGTTGGTTACAGCTTGATCGTAAGCTAAGTTGATAAAATCATTCAACCAGTAGTCTTCATTGATTTACTTAGAAAAGGAATCAATAAAAAGTTACATAATTAATTAGACGCCTACTTTTTCCGCATTGCAATACCTACATTAAGTAGGTACTTTAGTTAAGTTCGCTTGGAACATAACTACTTAGCTTGTAGTAGGAGGACAAGGGCGGCTTACATTATGCATTTAACACCTTCAACTTATGAGTTATAATCGAAGGCATATTGTTAGTTCCAGACAAAGACGCTATAACTGATGCCGCATTTAATATGCTCATAAACGCTGTTTTTAATTAATTTTGCCGGCAGCTGACCCAACTACAGTATACACAATGTTAAATTAAAATAACGTCAAGTCCGCAAAGATTTTTATGTTCATGTATGTAGGTTGGAGTGCCGTGCGCACAGCTAGTCTTCGATGTCCGGCTTTCGGCCTACGTTTTGAACCGAGGAAACATTGCGTCACTTCAACGTGATTATTTCAAATTTAAAACATCTTTAACTCCTAATGTGATGGCACTAACGTTTCGCAAAAGAGTTAAAACGGAGTACCTATTTACGTACAATCATCGGCTGGTTTAAATACTACGCATTTAACTATCGGCAACTCCAGTAAATTATTCAATGATGTATCGCAAACCTGATTTGCATTAAGTTACTAGATTTAATCATAATAAACCAACTAGATCAGTATATCATTAAGGCAGCATGAGAATTCTTGCTTTTATAGTGACGCGATTTACACCTATTGTCCTTAATCGATTTTATGACAGTTAACTTTGATTACAACATCGAATCATTTAACCGAACACAGATGTCGCTAAAATAAAACAAGCTTTAGAGCCTGCGCTATAAAACAAGATCAAGAAAACTTTCTAAAGTAATTTACCTTGTAGAACGACTTTAAAATCACGAGCTTGGTGTAAACTATCAATTGAATGCCTAATTCCACGTTATCTACGAGGAAATAAAACATAAGCTTTAACATTAATCCCACCTTACCTTCCTACACATTGATAAGTATAAAGCATATATCGTAAGATGTCTTGATTGTGTCACATCTCCATGAAAAATTTACTTACAGCCAACTAGATTTGCCAATTACTATAATCGCAGTATTGACGTAATTTATCTAACAGATTTAGAATCAAGAGCTGATTTATGCCTTCCTTTTGACTTTAACGGCGTATATAAAATGGGTAAGTTTTTCTGCAGTGGAAAATTATGTGCTATGTAACTCGATATTAAAAAGTTTTAATTATTTTAGAGAGTGACGAAGAAGATAAAGGTTCACTAGACGTATACAAATATAGGCGAAGAGCTGACAAGGACGAAATATTCTTGAATTCTACTACATTTGGTCGAATTTCTGACATTGATAAGCAAGATGTCAATTATGGAATCGACCAAGAAAAGAAGCACAAAACCTACACAATCTTACAAGAAACCAGAACGGAATTCACAAATAGCAAACTGCGGAATATTCTGATGATATATTCGAATCCTGCGTGGAAAGTGTTCATACTGACGATACTTTTTATCTCGTACCTGTTAGAATCATCCATGTACACATTCTGCAAACCGAAGGACCGGCCATTTTGGATCATCATTCTTGTGATATGTTCCAACTTCATTTTCTCTTTGGATGTAACGATCGTTTTCGGACTAAAGTTCTTCAGGAAGTGGAGAAAAACCCTCAATCTCGTAGAGCCTGAAACCAGTAGAGTAATATTAGATGTTGTACTAGCTATGCCATACGCGTTTCTTTACTTAGTAAACTACGAAAGGACTTCGTTCAACTATTACGCGATTGCACCAATTATGGCCCTGATCCGTGTTTACAGAATCATAGAGTACTTTTATAACAAGTCATCTCAAGCAGGAAGTAATCAATGGACGACGTTTCTATTCCAATATCTGATATTATTTCTGCTCTCTGTCCATACTTGGACTTGTGTGTGGTACCTATTTTCAGACAGAAATTTCGATATACATAAAGTTAGGTCGTCGTGGTCGACCGCAGCAATATACTTGCCGACAGAGGTCACCTTTGATTGGTACTTCGTTTGTTCATATTGGTCTGTAATGTTTCTAACAACGAACGCGCTTGGTGATTTGTACCCTGTGACCACAACCGAAAGAATTACAGCAATCACGGCTATATTGTTAGGATTTCTGCTGACAACAATCGTTTTTGTTGGGTCTTTGACTTCGCAGTTCATAACTATTACTACAAGACGTTCAATTTATGTAAGACAGTTGATGAAAATCAGGAATCACCTTGCGCTCATCAAAATGGATCCAGACACCACTAAGCGAATCATAAGGTAAGGTATTCATGTGAAAAAGTGTGCTGCTAAATTTATTGTTATCTATCAATTGTTATTTACCTGTACTTATTCACAGGTATTACGAAGATCTTTGGTACCAAAAGTCTGGTGTATTCAAGCCGAAATTATTGAAGCTTCTGCCGTATCCTCTTCAAATGGAGATCTGCTATGACTTGAACGCTGTACCACTCTACAGTTCATTGATATTCCGAAAGCTTCCGGAAGCCTTCCTTAGAAGGCTCTCTCTGGACATGAGTCACCAGTTTTATTTACCAGGCGACATTGTTTACAAGCACAATCATAACAAGACTATTATGGTAACTGATTACAATAAACTTTACCTACCACATTATACACCTACGTCAAATATGGAAGTTTTTTACAGTATTATTTTCATATACACGGCGAGACCACACCCATTTAAACATTACGTAATTTTGTCTGATCATGAGACGTTTGCGCGGAAAAATAATATTTAATTGTAGGTATGTATCACGAGTGGGGTTCTAGAATTACTGTCGGATGAAGATGACGAAAGTCCAATGATTTCATTTTCAAAAGGAACGTGCTTCGGAGAAATATCTCTGGTTTACAACATACCAGGTAATAATCTGTACATGTAATTAGAAAATTGACAGTTACTTGCAATGAAAATGTTGTAAAAGTAATTGCACAATTTCACTTTCAGCTCGATGTACCGTAAAAGCGGCGACGTACGTCGAGTGTCAAGTGCTGGACAAGACAAAGTTCATTAAATTGATGATCACGTATCCTCAAATGATCGATAAGATAAAGAATGAAATAAATGAACGGATTGAGAGGAGTCGTCAAAGGAAAACGAGGGGAGACCAGACTGCCTTATCCTTGAATATTTACGCCTCCAAGGATCGAAAGAAGAGCAGCATTAAATGTCTGAAGGACAAGCTAAGATACGTTCAAGGCATGTTAAAAATTGTTACGACTATATTCAATGTATTTCAAACCGGCCGGTTGCATAGGTAACCAACCTAAGTACACACTTACCTGTCTCTTATTTGCAACCTTACTTGTTACCGCGAGTGACAGGCGGGCTATGTGCCAGTTTGCGGTAGGTGCGATCACCCCAAGTTTATTAGATCCTGATTCGCCTATTTAGCTCTGTGTATCTCTGAACTTTCTCGTACACATTAGCGTTTATAAAAAATATGGAAATTCGCAATCTTTTACATCTACAGGATGTCCCAAAATTAAAACGTCACATTGACACCGTAGGTAGATGGGCCTAAGACGTTAGACGCGTCGAACAACGCGTTATTATGTCCGTTGAAAAGTTTCATCAGTGTCGAGATACGGTTATTTTTGGTACACATTTTCAAACAAAAAATCATAAATTTCAATACTCCAGAAACTTTTATGGACATTAAGTCTAAGGCCACGTGGTATTAAGCTACCACCCGCGTCAATGTCACGTGCAAATTTTTTTTTTTAAGATTATTAGCAATTTGTATTGCCCAAATTACTAATAGTCCCATTAGCCCATCGTGTTAAGCTAAATAAGCTTGTGTTACGAGTGGGCTCACCACAATAGTCGAGCGGGGCGGTGGGTTTCGTACCCGCGTTCCTCGGATCTCGAATCGGCCACTCCGACCCCTTCACCGTTCGGCTATCGTGTCTATTAAATTTTAGGACAGCCTGTATACTTTATTATGATAGTTAAATATAAAACAATACCTTGATGACTTTGATGTCACAATTAAGTTTTATCTCACAGGTAAAACTAATGAAGACCTGACGAAAGATGACGAGTTGGACAGTAACTGCTTAGATCTCTACATTTTATCTGAACATGTTAAGAAAAAGACGACCTTATTTACCTGCATCAGTTCCTCGTTTCCTTGGGTCTTGGAACACGATTGCTACCTCGTGAAATACTGGGAGCATTACATGCTCTGTATAGTATTTTACATCTGTACTGTATATCCATACTTTATCGGAATCAAGAGAAAATTTCCCGGCGGCCTTCTATTCTATACTCAGATTCTAATCACCATATCGCTGCTACTAAACGTCGTTATGTCTTCTGTAACAGCTGTGAAAACAAAGAAAAGCTATTTAACTAACATACGAAGCATTTTGAACTATAGGATGAACACCCTAGGGTTTTATCTAGATGTGATTGCTATTATACCGTTCGAGTATATTGTCACGATTCACAAAACTGTAAATTACGACGACAGTTATAGAGACCACTTATTTTACCTGTGCAAAGGTATCAAATTATGCCTAGTGTGGAGACTGTCGAATTTTTTTGAAAAACTTGAACGCAAGCTGTTACTGAATTCTTTGATCGTGAAGGTAATAATTGTTTTTCTACTTTTTTAGTGTTCTTTTTTGGAGTAAGTTTATTTTTTTATCGTCACGCTTAATATTTGGAATATTAATTTTCATAATACAATTTATTTTAAGGTGGCCAAATATTGCGTCTACATTTGTCTATTATGTTACTGGTGTGGAGTAATATTGTACATGGAGTCCTGTTTTGTGAGCCGTTGTTCTGAAAACTCATGGTTCAGTAGAGCTTTGCTTTGGGAAAACAAAATAAGTGGTGTGACGTCAAGCAAGTAAGTTACTTTAGTAAAATATCAGAGAAACGTTTAAATAAATATGCTTCTACCTTATTCCACTTATTCTTTAAGTAGCTGTAAGTGCGTAATAACAGGCATAATAATAGATTGTAAATACGTATTCGACAATTAATTACCACATCAGAAGCATTAAAATATCAATGGAAACTAGTTGACATTTACAGTTGAGATTTACTTTACAATCTTATCGTAACATCGTAATAATGTTTATTAATTATATGATTTATAATCAATAAAAGAAGGTAACAAAAGCTGACATTTAACTTTAACTACTTGGTAATAAATTACAAATGTTATCAAGTCGCATAAGATAACATCATGAGATTTCCGTATAGTTCCCATAGCGTGAAAAACATTTAACAAAAACAAATGACAAGAGTGCGTGGATTTTTCTAGATCGCACTTGGGCATTACATATCTTGTTTAATGTAAGTCCTATTTGATGTATTTTATTGAAAAAGAGGCTGAAATAGGTGACTGTTTCTTCTGCCATTTCTCAACATCAGCCCATAGTATGTTGTCCCTAAGCTTAGTGGTGGTAGGGCGAGCTATTTGGGACGTGTTTATGCGCTCTGGAAAAGACCCAAGTACTGAATAACTTTGACTTTTTTTTTTCTAGAACCAAATATCCACTAGTGACGTCAGTATACTTTGCCACCACGGTCCTCCTGTCAGTGGGGTATGGTGATTACACGCCTGGTGACCAATTCGACATGGCTTTAGTGGCTTTTCTCAGCCTATATGGAGTACTACTGATCGGATACTGCGTGTCCGAATTCTCAGCTGTAGTCACGCATTGGTCTAGGTAATTTATTTTCTTAATTGAGTGATTTTACTCTACAGGGTATAGGAGCGGCACGGGAAGGGTGACATTGACATAATAAATAATAATAATAAATACACTTTATTGCACACCAAAGATAAGGACAGAAAGAAAAGGAACACACAAGGTACAACTAGGCGGTCTTATCGCTATGAAGCGATCTCTTCCAGACAACCTATGGTGAGGACAGTTCCTTAAAAAAAAATATGAAGGCGGTGTCGACACTAAAGAAATAAATGAAAACAAAAGGCATAAAATTTAAACCAAAATAATACATACAAATAATACACAAAATATATTAATATATACATAATTATATAAAATACAGGGTGTTTGGCGCATCGTGTGCCAAAATGATTTGGCGGATAGAATGGGTCATTTCCTATATTTTCAGCCCCCATAACACGTTCCATGCCAGGCGGCTACTTTTAAATTAATTTTTTTAGTAATTTCACCAAAATACCCAAATCGCATCATTTAATTTCGATTTTTAAAAAAACTACTAGGCGCAGCCCTAAACTAAATATTTTGTTTTGACGTGCATTAATGTAGGGTTGCATCAAATCTAAATTTACTGGCAAATATCATCTAGTTTTTTTTAAATTCAGCTTTGAAGTTTTCCGAAAAGTTAAAAATGGACTGAACATTTAAGTTTATATTGGTATATTTTTTTTTTAAAAAGAGATAGCGATCTTAGGATTTTACCAAAACTTCTCTAGTCTATCCTCATTCAAACGGTATACTAATCTTGTTTAAACAATAACAACAACTTCACAAATTCCTTAAATTAGTGCATTGACTCTACTCGGACTGATTTGCGAAATTTGTGTTTATAGCCCCTTTATGTTTGATTAGCACGTTTAACACCTACAGGTAAAAAATATTAATCTTATGCAATGTAAAAACCTTTTCCCAATCGTTTTTCAATGTGGATTTCTTGAATTTAAAGACGAAAATAATTATTTTGATCGTTTATTAATTATTACAAATTTTGTTCAAAATGGCCTCGGCAACGTATACACTCACGACATCTTCTTCTAATTTTCTCTTTTTATTACTACAATTATACCTACATTTTTGAAATTCTAATAATTCCGTAACCGAAATTATCCGAGACTTTCGGATAATCTGAAATGATTTCATATCCGTGACCGTAACCGAAACCGGTATAATATTATTCTAATATCCGTAACCGTATCCATAACCGAAACTTCATATCCTTATTATCCCTGTTACCAAGTACAAGTGCAGGCAGAGCAGGTAGTAAAGGCGCGCGCGCACGGGTGACTTTTGTCACAGTATGTCAACTACTAATTACTGTCATGGTGACAAAAGTTTCTGTGACTGACTGTACGGTAGTCAGTCACAGAAACTTGAATTTTGGGCACATTAGAATAATAATTTTTAACCAAGGTAGATAAAGTTAAAATCGGGACTATTTCCAAAAAACCAAAAATTGTCGACAATTACAGCAAAAATTTACCAAGTGTTATACTATTTTGGAATCCTTACTAAATGCGCCAAATTATGACGTCACTTGCCACACTCGCGTAGTACATTTTTTTTTCAGTACAGTTAGTTTAAACTAGGCAAAATTTTTATTTTGAATTTTTTTTTGGGAATAATGTATTTTTTTCATCCAAGCTGGAGCAGCTGGTTTTGTAATTTTGATAACAATTTAGAGAAGCATTATTCAGGGTGACATAACAAAAAAAAAATTTGGAAAAAGTGAAGATTTGTGGCAACACGAGCAAAAGGACCGTCACCTGGAGTAGAATTTTTTGATTTTTTTTAAATGCCTATTATTTTTAAAATATGCCACATAGATTTTTTTTTATATTTTTCTGATAACCAGCACAACTTGCCTCAACACCCAGTTCCGGCTTGACGTTACATTACGGGACACCCTGTATACCTACATACATAAAATATAATATATACCTACATACATAGTATGACGTGCCAGAGGGCTTAGTGTGAGTTTACATCAAACGGCCTCACTAGTGAGCGCGTAAAAAATGACATTAAATGTATGACGGATTGTACAGCGGCCCTAGCGGAAACTTTCAAGAGCTAAAAATGACATGTTTTTTTTTAACGCGCTCCCTAGTGAGGACGTTTGATGTAAACCCACTAAGCCCTCTGAGCATACATTATCTGAAGCATATTCGAAGACGTGTGACGTCTCAAAAGCACCCTCCCGTGCCGCTCCCATACCTCCGGCAATGACTCAGTAAGCGCTATAACCTATGTACGCACTACGCAGTCTTGTCAAATAAATAGTCTTTATTATTATTATAAGGATCAATTTCCTTATACACTCGACATCAAATAAATCGCACCTCCCGCGACAAGCATTTTCAAACGTATGCTTCCCCACTTCCCACCAATATTGGCACCATTTAAAAGCCTAGTTCTAACCTTCATTTCATTAAAGGAAAGGTTTTTACCCCAAAAATATGTCTTTAGAAGGATCCAGAGTCACTTCTTCAAAAAATAGGTAGTTACGCTAGAGCCAACTTTTATGGCTATAAAACTGTTAAGTTGGGATTAATCGCTATCCATCTGTTAAAGAGGACACGTGAGATCATTATTTGGTTTTATAACCATAAAAATTGGTCTAATTGATCCCATAGGTGGGCCCAAAGTCAGGTATTTTTTCAAGTCACATATTTTATGGTACATGTTAATCATTTATTAAGAAATTAAATGTGTTTTTCTTTAAGGATATTTATTGGGCTTTCAAATAACACCAATATTGTTGGGGCACCATGATTGTGTCAGAAGAAAATCGTTAAAGTTCGCGTCGCGGAAGGTGCGGTTTATTTGATGTTGAGTATATTTCTGCCTTCACAAATGACACCGAATAAGACATAATTTACGTTAGTTTCTATTCAAATAATATAATAACTTAATTTGGTACAGAACCAAAACGGCATTCTTGGAAGTGATCATAACCATAGACAAGTTTATGAAGGAGAACAATATGCACCCGGCAATCAAATCCAGAATAATGGCGTTTTACGAGCTACAGTGGCAGTATAATTCGGTAAACGTTACGATATCTACTTATTCGTCAGTAATGTAAATTTAGTCTATGACTAATTTAATTTATGCCTGAATATAAATTTAAGCTGGTCTGAAAACGTTGCCAAGACTTTAAAAAGTTTTTCGGGACTATTCCAGGGAGTGGAACTCACTGAGGAGAACTGGTTGGAAAGTACTGTTATACCATCTGAGCTTAGGAAGAAAGTGCTACACCAAGCTAGATTTAAAGCGCTTACTTCGATTAGATTTTTCCAAGTTAAAAATATCGCTTACATTCAAACACTAACCGAAAGTAAGTCTAAGTAGTAGAATAATAAATCTATCTTTCTTCTGTCGAAAAATTTAACGCCAACGAAAATTTACATCATAGATTAAATAAATTTAACGCAAGGTCAATTTAAGCCTACACATTCTACGAGTGACAATACCTCTCATTGACACCATTTTTGTAATTTTTAGCTGCAAGAGACATAATACTTCCACCTGGCGAAATCGTATACTACGGTGGAACAGTTACTAGAGAACTCTACATAATAGAAAGCGGTTATTGCTTAGTAACATCCCCACAGATGAAAGAGGCTAAGAAGGAACGCGTCATCGGACCTGGAAACCACTTAGGATTATTGGTGCTATTATATGGCGTACCAGCTGTTAGCACTGTGATTACGCTGACCCATTGCAAGGTTTGTGCTTCATCAGGTCGTTTAGCATCCACTGCACCTTCTATAATTTAGTTTAAGCAAGTGCCAATGGATTATTTGGAAAGTGCAGCATGGGACGTCCACCCACAACGTGGACCGACGACCTCATAAAGGTAGCAGGAAGGCGCTGGCGCTGGATGCAAGCCGCTATACCAACCGGTCAATATGGGAATCATTAGAATTCCCATATTGCACATAGGATCAGCAGTGGAAGTCCTAGGTGGTTGATGAACGGAGGAATTGACTAACACTCCAACTCCAACTTCGAATATTTTACCCCTTTAGTCGCCTTTTACGACATCCACGGTAAGAGTGGGAGTTATCCTATATCCTATCTGCAAGACACACTCCATTGTAATTATTTTTTGCATGTACAAATCGCTTGTTTTTTATTCTTTACAGTTGATAAGTATTAGCCACTGGGCCTACACATCGGCATTAAGCTTATTTCCTGATATGAAAGAGCATGAAGGCCTTCTAACGCCAGAGGAACTTAACAGCATACAGATGCAGGCCAAGTCACAATACGCTGCTTGTGCTTATTTAAAGCATTACAGCAACCTCACTAGGAAACCCCCACGAGTCAAGATTACCAATATCCTTCAGGAGTTTTTGAACAGTAAGTGACTTAAAATCAACATCATAGAACATATGCCTCCCTCAATGGTTTTCACATCGCCCGGTTGGTAACAACTTGACTTTATGAGGTCGCGATTCAGTTGAGTCTTGATCTTAGAATGTTTTATCAATATTTTAAGTGGGGGTTCAACTTATGGAGGAGCTTAAAATATTAATAAAACATTCTAAGATCAGAAGCCAGTTGCAGAAACTGCCTTAAACGTAATCAAGTTATTAGTCACATATCAAAATAAGATAAAATAAAGTCAACCTGTGTCTGAGTCAACTAAAGGGAGCATGCTAAAAGATAACGTATTAAATAACAGTATTATTCATCGTATGTTGTACACACACCGGCAGATTTAGCGGAACGCAAAAAAAAGTATGAAAATAAGGAAAATTACTACTGATCTATGAAATATTTATTATACAAAATAAAGAGATAATTAAAATAAAATAAAATAACATATATTTTTTAAATATTTAGTCGTTTTTATTTAATAAAAAATCATCGAAACGAAATTTCAATTTTTCAGTTTTGAACAAAAATTAGAAATTGTGGCCAGATTAAAAATTAGGGTAGCTTATCACTATCCAAATGAATGAATTAATGATGGGTATTTCCCCCTCTTGCTCTGATGATGGTTTCCATTCATCTGAGCATGCTGCAGTTAATGATATGAAGGGTATTTTGGGGCAATGTCTGCCATTCCTCTAGTAACGCGTTTCTCAACACCACCGGTGGTATTCTGAGTTTAACACATCTTTTAAGAAAGTCCAAGACATGCTCTATAGGATTCTTGTCTAGGGATCTTGCCAGCCACTGCATCATGGGTATATCCAAATGGTTTAGATGTGCCTGTACTGAGCGAGCACTGTGAAAACGAACATTATCGTGAATTAAACTAAAGGAGTCCACAATAAATGGAGTAAATGGCACATCATGTTCTTCTAAAATGTTCCTAGTGTACCATTCAGAAGTCGTATTTCCTCCATCACCCACCACTAACTCCGTGCGAGCTCCCAAAAAAATCCTTCCCCACACCAGAATTAAGCTACCTCCATAAACCACGATATTTTCAAAATTAAGACTAAATGTTACGTTCTCTTTGTGTCTCCATATTCGCTATCTTCCATCGATCTGGTTTAAGAGAACTCTGCACTCATAAGTGAAGAGATCATGCCTCCAGTCGTTCAAGACCCAATCACGATATTCACGTGAAAAGTTCAATATGTTTTTTCGGTGCTGTGTCACAAGTTGGAGCTTTCTCGGGTATGCACGACCCTATACCAACTTCAGTAAATCTCCTGTGAACTGTGGGCTCAGTCACTCTTACTCCTCGAGTGTCTTTAAGGTTATTTCTGGCTTGAACAGCAGGTAACCGCGACTTTCTGAAAACTCGAAGTTGTAAAAAACGGTCATCCCGTCGCGAAGTACGCCTTTTTCTGACTTGAACCCTCCTCCTAACGACAGAAATGATCAATCTGTACCGTTGGTTACTGCCATGGGTGGTCGATACTGATCAACGACGTCTTACGGCAGCCGATTTGTATGCATGGCCGTTACTTCTCATTTCATCTGCCTTAATGATTTCTGACGGTGCTAAGCTGGGCATAATAAACCCTTATAAGTAACTGAATGCTTACACAACAAAATTCTCAGAAAAAAACATCTTTCACGTAAAAGAAATCCAAATTAGCAAAAGCTTCATTCAATTCAAAACACTCAACGAAACTGTTGATGGGGTAATTTAAACAAAATAATTAAAAAAATATGCTGTTGGCAATTATTTTTTTCAAATTTAGAATTAAATTAAAAAATAATGTCATAATTAGGCATTTTTTTCCTAAAATAATGATGATATTGATGCTTTTTTTTCCGTTCCTCTAAATCTGCCGGTGTGTGTATTTTCAGATTCCTTCATAAATGTGTATGATGACTACCACAAACGGAGAGAAAGCTACATCAAGTCATACTCACAATTTCGCATTTTGAACCATTTCGCACCGTATTTACTTATGCCAATTGCGATCAAACCAAATGGAATATTTTTGAAGTTCTGGGCGTTTGGCAGAATTATCACAGCATTTTTGTTATGCATTTTAGTACCGGTAATGTTTAATTTAATCTGTATGTGTACGAAGAGCATCACAAATAATTATAATTAAATTTGGCCTTGTCTCTCTCACTCGCCTACGATAAAAGCTCAATTAAGAAGGATAGCGCCGATTTATTACACATACTTTTTACCTACACTTTCTTCTTTTACGATACTTAGAGCTGCGTTTATGAGTAGGTACTCAACTTAACAAAACATCATTTCCAATTACAGATAGTTGTGTCTATGGCCCCACTGTGTGGAATATTTAACTATGCAATAGTAGCTCTTGAGGCAATATGCTATATTGATCTCTATCTGATGCTACATGTCGCTTATTATGGAACGAAGAACCAGTTGATTTACCATCCATATTTAACTGCCAAAAATTACTTAACAGTAAGTTTTTTTTAAACTTAGTAGTAGTAGTAGCAGTGAACGTCATTTGGCTGAAACTAATAACGAAAGTTTTTTTTATTACCTGAATGGAGGTAAAAATAAGAGTAAGTACGTCATCATCATCATTTCGGCCAACGGACGTCTACTGATGCTATTGCTGTTTATAGAATTGAATCAGCAATTACAGAGAATATGAGTATTTATAATAATAGGTCATCCTAATAAAATACGACTTCACGCGATGTGATGAATTTAACGACGCGGGCGGCAACCTTAAAATACTTGACGCTTGATAGATTCGTATGACCTTTTTCATAAGCCCACACTATTAACTTTCATTCTAATTCAAATTCTTTGTTACTGGTCTAACTCTAACGCAAAACTCAGACAGTGCCTGAAGTATGGCCCATACTGTATGGGATATACTAGGTAAATTTGATACTAGGTGCACCTATTCCTAGTATTTATTAATACTCGATCCAAGTACCTGTTCCACCTAGTACGTAGTAATTTAGCATACTTGACGCGACTAGTGCGGACTAATCCACGTAATATGACTTTAAAATACAATTTTCTTTGAAAAGATACAACTGTAGTATGAATAATGCAATTTGAAATTGAATAATAATTCCTCCCTTCGTACTTCAACAGGCTTAGGACTGTCAACTTAAAAGTTGGCGTATTTAAAAGATAATTTTATCATTTCATAAAAATATTTACATATTTTTTCTTATTTACATGAATATGGTTTGACTACGTTTGTGTGCGTTTGCTTCGTCGCGCTCTTTGTTTTGTCAGACAGAGACGGAGTGAATCTCTACGTTCGCACATAAGCTTAGCGAGAAATACTAGGTGCGCGTAATACACGACTACGGATTACGCAATAATAACCTCTATTACTTTGACGGTAGGGTCGGAAATCGTGTAATTTATAAAATACAAGGTGGATCAAGTATTTAAAAAATTGGAATAGGTGCCGCCTAGTACTGTAAAATACCTAGTGTGTGGATCTGTTCTAGTAAATACGTCTCATCTCTAGTATGGGAGCAGCACGGGAGGGATGACATATTATGAAGTCTCGCTGACGTTTGACATTACAAAAACACGTTCCTATGCCTCAGGCACTGACTCATTTTTGCGCTAGACCGAACGTAGGTACGACGTAGGTCCTTTGTAGGGTACTTAAACCGCCTCTGTGGTCTAGTGGTTAGACCACCTGCTTCAGACGCAGAGGTCCCGGGTTCGATTCCCAGTGGGGGCAGAATTTTCTGTTCGGTTTGGTTGGTGGTAGGGCTTGTTCCAAGTCCGCCTGGCTAGCTACCACCATCTTACCTAAGTCTGTCGCCATAACAACAATGTTAACAGCATTGTTGTGTTCCGGCAGTTAGAGGTAAGATAGCCAGTTCCTCTGTGGTTGAGGATTCCGAGTGAAGCTCGCTTCCACCTTCGGCCTGATCATCACTTACCATCAGGTGAGATGCAGGCCAAGAGCTTCCTCGTTGTGGATAAAAAAAAAAACACACACACACACACACACACACACACACAAACTCTTTCTCTTTCCTTTCACACTCTAATAGGTAGGTACGAGTATATCAAATTTAATCGTAAAGTAACAATCACCACTGTGGTCTAGTGGTAAGACTACCTATTTAGGACAGGCAATTCCTCTGTGGTTTAGGATTCCGGGTGAAGCTCGCTGATCATCCAGCAGTTTCCAACTTTCCATCAGGTCAGATGAAGGGCAAGAGCTTCCTTGTTGTGGATAAAAAATGTTCTGTTCAGTTATTGTCTCTAAACGTGTTCTACGTAACGTACACTTAGTGGATTGCAAATATTAGTTAGTCCTATGAAAGTCAAAAACATGTAACGGAATCTCCGACTTACTACTTTAGTAGAGCGATTACAGAAAATAATGGCCGCCTATTAAGTGCATGTTTTTTTGTGTTATTATGAAAGTTCAGAAAACTGCGCAGTTTTTAAAATTATTTTGGACCTATGGAAATTCTTTTTTTTTCTCATACATTTCAGTTGAAAATTTTAGAATGTTCTGCTAAAAGCATATTTTTTATGTTTCTAGCAAAAATTTTGTATCTTGCATCAAAGATATGAAGGTGATTATTTTTTTCAAATATCTGCAACTAATAGGGAATCTGTCAAAAAAAAGAAATCTGAGAAAAATCAACCCAAAAAAAAGATAAAAAAAAAATTAAGCCACTAGGTCATGAAATTTGAAAAAATCACAAAATTAACGATAACTTCTAAACTACGAAAAATCGTAGAACATACATGGGGGTGAAATCGATAGGTCTAGTCCTCACCTATCACCTGCCTTCGGCTTGACACCTTACAAGAAACACCCTGTATAGCTTGCCCCACCACCATTTCGTTCATGACATCAAAAAGTGGCGGAAGAAACTCAGTCACCTTTGTCAGCCAAATACAAGAAAGTAATTCTTGATTGTTATGCTTTATAGGGCCCTTTCATCATAGATTTTCTGACATGCTTTCCCTGGTATGCGATATGGAAGCTCTTCGTACCTAAACACGATGAAGATCATACGGAAGAGGACCACATTGCCAATCATCACGTATTCCACTGTATTTTGCGAATGGTTAACGTGCTACAAATATACAAACTTTACGCTGCGTTCTGGGCGGAATCTATCGCAGCATTGAAACGGGTATTTTTATTTTATTTAGACAATGTAATAATAAAACATTAATATCACTTTCAGCGTGCATACCGACTTTATCGAAAATGGTTTCGCTTATTTTCTGATCAGGTCTTGGATTTCGCTTTAGGGCTATCAACATTGAAATTATGACATTTTACTTGTAAAGACTGCCGCTTGTGGGAACCGAATGCACCACATTTTGTTCTGTAGCTCAGTGGATATGCAGCCGTCCGGCTAACAAAATATCGTGGCCAGTTTCCCTTGAGACAGTGGCATTTTCAATAGAAACATCTTCTCTTAGCAATGATAATAAAATAACATTAATATTAATTCCAGGCTTACTTGATGAGTGTCGTACAGTTCTTTCTACTGACGATTTTCTTCCTTAACTTGTATGCATCGATGCTGATAACCATGTCATGCAGATACGTTATAGCTTCTAACGCCGATGATTTCGAAGACAGAATTTCACGATTGTCCCTGATAGGTCCTTATATGAACACAACGTACCATCCTGAGGGTTGCATGGTTTGCCAACGAGGTATAATTACAAAAATAGTTGTTAATTAAAATTATTCGCATTACATAAGATTAAGGTCGCCTATGTTCACCTAGGATTCCTGGGAATTGCGCCTTTGTTCATCTAGAAATCACCCAGATAAACAAATGCGAATTTTGTATTCATATTGAAATACTCCTCTGTGGCATCTCACGTAATTTTAAAGTGTCATGCAACAATCTCATAAGCTGATGACTGTACATACCGTACACTAGTTTGAATCTAGGATATTATAAGTGAGTATGCTTATTATTTATTTCTTTCACAAAGGATCTTGGGTTGACGCGCCAACATTATTAGAAGAATACCTAACCCCGGCAAAAGTATACCTGTTGGCTTATTATTGGGCGGCGACGAGTTTTAGTGGGGCTGGCTTCGGTGACATCACTGCGCAAGACAACACCCACATGATCCTTTCCATTTGTATCAACATACATGGAGTTCTGTTCTTTGGGTATAAAGTCATTTTAGTTATCTGATTTTGAATTTTATATGGCTTTAAAGATGATACGAAAGTGCACATGTCTATATGTGCCTGTTTTGCAATAATGCCTCTTGCAAAATCATGAGTAAGAAACTTTATTTCAGATACGTTTACGCTAAAATTGCATCACTGAAAGCAATGGCAGATCAAGTGGTAACGAAATTCCAAGAGAATTTAAAGCATCTAGAATTATTTCTGAATAGAGAAAAGGTGCCATTTGTACTGAAAAAGACTGTGATAGATTACTGGAAATATCAATGGAAGAGAACGGGCGGATGGTCGGTAAGGATTTTTTTGGTTTGGTGCAGTGAATAAAATTTTAAACGATATATCCATATCATGCATTGTGGAAAACCTTGGAGGAGGCCTTTGTCCAGACGTCATTTGGCTGAAACGAACGAACGATCTATATCACTTTCGCACACGTTAGCGTCTTGGCATGAGTGAAAAGGAAAGATAGTTTTCGTGTATAAATCTCGCAAAAACAAAAGCACTAAATAAAAGAATTAAATCTCCACATCTGGCGATTTCCATACACCTTTCCGAATGACGTTGGTTCATTGCATAAACAGCAAATTTTAAATAAACTTGCATACAAATCTGTTTGTTGACAAATACTGGCAAAGGAACTAGCTATTTAATATTAGCAATTCCAAAATATACGGTTATTTCCTTCACGCCGTTTAATATATTAATAAGTATGTAAAATACTTGATGACAATTTACCAAGTAGAGTTAGAATGCTATGCTAATCACCTTGTTTGCTTTTAAATGTTATCAAATCACCCATAATAACAGCTAAAGGTATATTTAATTATCCTTGTTTAGCACCAATCCATACTAGGTAAACTGCATGCAAATCTGAACGAAGATTCAGTACTGTATATGTACGAGAAAACGCTGCGAGAGATACCTTTGTTCGAAGACGTTGAATATTCGTTCTTCAGGGCCTTCGCGAAGAAACTCAAAGAGCAATACTTTCAAAAAGGTTACATGGTTATAAGAGCCAACGAAGTTATCAACTCAATGTATATTATCTATCGGGGGAAGGTACAGTTTTATTTCCTCATATTAGGTAAGCGTTTTTAAACTCAGACAGTGCCTGGAGGTATGGGAGCGACACGGGAAGTTTTTGTAATATCAAACGTCAGCGAGACTTCAGATCTCTTCAAATTAATATGCTCTGTCACGTCATAATATGTCAATGTCACCCTCTATTATTATCTCAGGCACTAACTTAAGCGCTAGACGTGTTAAGTGTGTTTTTAACAAAATCCAATTTAGAATGGAATATTTAAAACTTTTTGCACAACTTTGGTGTAGGTGGACATAATATCGGATATTAATGAAGTGGAAGCCTGTATGGGGCCGGGCGGCATATTTGGAAATATCAGAGGTGCATCCAAGTATTTGACCATGTCAAACGTCATCGCATCGAGAAACATCGATTTGTTGTGTATTAAAGGACACGATTTCTACGCTCTCCTAAAGGTTTCTTGATAGTTTCATTTTGCAGTAATCATGTCATCTACATAAATTAAACAATATTTACATACTTACCAATTAACCAATACTTATGTTTCTTCATGTTCTTTCAGAGCTATCCGTCCGTACTTAGGAAAGTAAAACAGTCGGTGGACTCAGCAGCAAAAGACTACGTTCTTCCTACCACCACGTCTGGAAGACCAAGTTTGGAGGTGAGTAAAACACAATAGAATTAGGTATTAAGATTATTCCCTAGATTCTGAATTAGAATTCTTAGCTAATGCGTGCTCATTTTTAATTGTTCTGAATTGAGAGATTCAACTTTGAGAATTCGCTTAAGTAATCTCAAATCAATTCAGGGCAATTCAGAAACGAAAATAGGCTTAAGTTCATACTTAGGTAGAGAATGAGTATTCTCAAGCTCTGCATTTCAATTAAGAAGCCGGCTGTATTTCAAAATTAATAATACAATTTAAATACAGGTTGAGACATACCCTCTTTCATACGAAGCTGGTGACGATGAAGAAGACGATGGACTCGACGATCTTGACTTCAGCATGTTTGTAGAAGTATGTTTCCTTCCATCTTTCGTATAATACTTCAGATCACCAAAGGCTTTAATGACATTTGTCAACTTCCAGAGTCCAGAAAAAAGTATAGCTGAATCCCATGGCTCAAGATCTATCACGTCAGCAGGGAATGCAGACTACGTTGGAGCTACATTCCTGATTTTAAAACCACACAGGTTTCATTCTATTATCTCCGTCTTAAAACATTCGTGACACAAAATACTGTATCAGTTTTCACACCTGGGCATAAGGATAACAGTATAAAAACCATGCGGAAATCATTTAAAATAGGTATACCTTATCTACGAAGATTAATCTACGTCAATGCATACTTACTATCGCTAGTGTACTACAGATTTTTCTACTTATTCTAACACAGAAAACTAGTTCTCTGCTGTCATGCAATACTATTGTAAGGGTCACTCAAAATAATAATACACCTTGTCAAAATAACAACAATCAATTTCAATAGCAAATAATTGAAATATTACCCGCCTGCCTACTACATTTTAAGAGTACCTTTTTGATTTGCTTTCAAGGCTAATACTCATTTTAATACTTACCTATTGCTTATTTGCAGGTGGTTTCGTAGCAGTATTTTGCCAGACTGCAAATTGGTCATGTTCATGGGTAAATCCTTTTTCGTATCTATTGTTAATTCTTGCCTACAATAGTAAACAACTTCTCATACCTACAGGAATTTTTATACAGGAAAACTGTATTTTATAATCCCTGTTAAGTAAAAAGTATGTCGCCCAGTAGGAACTTAAAAAAGTGAAATTCTGATTTACAACTTACGTTCTATTAGATACATTGTTGACGTAGACGGATGACATAATTCCATTTATGTTTGCAGATCAATTCACGCTGATTCTTGCCTACGTTGACTTCATGTTGCTCGTATATCAAATGGCATTTCTCTCAATCCCTTACTTTTTATACATCTGTGTGACATTGGACGTAATTTTTTGGTACAAACTATTTCTCGACATGCACAGCGGGTTTATGAACAGATACGGCGATTATATTTTGAATCCGAAGAAAGTTAGGGAGATGTGAGTTCACTGTAACTTCTATTTTAAATAAGATTCATTATGTTGATATGTATTTGGCCTATATTGCTTTTGTCCGTATCAGGACACTTGTGCGAAAGACATTTGCGTGAATACACAAGTGCGAAAAGCCATTTGCTTGCGCCTACGGACAAACGGAAATTAATGTTTGCGCGAAAGACACGATCGCGAAAACACATAGCGCAAACGAATACTTATTTTTTTTCTTTCACGATAATGCCGTTCGCGCAAGTGTCTTTTCGCTAAAATATATTTTCGCGGAAGTACCGAAACATTTTTGTAGAGTAAAAAAATAGTGTTGTAACATCGATGTTGAAATTGCAGGTACTTCTCAAAAGTATACCTACGGAGGCGTGATTTCCTTGCGAACATACCTATTTGCTACTTAGCATTCGGCTTGCCCTTGCTTCCGCCCATGCAACTCGCATTTTTCGTCTACCTACGCTCTCCCCAGTTGTTTAGAGTCTCATACCTGTTCACCTACAGAGTACACTCGGCAAGGAAAAACAACATCAGCTCGGCTAATCTTTTATTCAAACTAACGTGGGTATAAATCTGGTATATTTTGATTTTAATTGACAATTGATTGATGGTTATTCTATTACACCAATCGAAACGTTTCTTTCTAAGAAAGAGACTATCGAATTCATTAAAAAAATTCAAACTGAAATCAGTCGGTTTCTTATCCTCACGTAGCTAAGTACCTACTATGTTTTTTAAGCTGCCAGACTATACCAAAATACGATTTCTATAATCGCACATAGCAGCATCTGGCAATAAATGAGAAACACAAATAGATTCTAAAATATTAAAGCGATGTTAAAGAAAAGCTCCACTTTTCCATAATAATTTACATCTTTTTAATTCTACTACCTACATCAATATAACCGATTTAAAGCCTCCTTTATGCCTTATATTTTATTTCAGGTCAATAGGAATATGGGCATCAATACTGGCTCACGTAAACGCATGTCTATTTTTCAAACTGTCATGTCTAACTCCAGTGCACTGTACTTCGGCTAACTGGATGTCAAAAAACGAACTTAATTTACGATCCAAATACATACAGGTAACTTAAAAAAGCAAATACAGTTATTCTAATATTACTTGACTTCAAGGTCTGAACCGTTCTTGCACTTGGTACGCATTAAAATTATTGAAACTATAACTATTATATTTTTTTCTCACTAGTTGGCGCCACTGGTAAGTATGGTCTTATCACTCGCCAGTGGCGCCAGCTAGTGAGTGAAAGATAAAACGATAGTCCCTAGATTGAAAAGTTGTAACAAATAGTGAACGCAAATGTACTAGACTCTCATTTAGCTGTGGATATCCGCAACGTGAAAATGTATTGTCAAAATGCAATGAAATTACTAACTTCGCACATGAACTGAAAAATCTAGAAAGTGTCTAGTCAAACGATCTCTTGCGGTCAAACAATAATCAAGGCAAGTTATTTTATAAGCATACATTTACAGGCAAATTATTTCTCAATCTACGTAGCGGCTCTGTGGTACATGATAAACTTACTAACGATCACTGGAACCGGCGACGTCTCATCACAAAACGACTTTGAAGCTATAGAAACTATCATTGTCATTATTATAATCAAATTTTGTACAGGTATTTTCCATGTTATTGTAAATAATAAACTGTTGTATTTTACACAATGGCGAGCCTAAGGGCAGGGATGTTATGGATATCCGTATAATATTATTCCTATATCCGTAACCGTATTAAGGGTGCCGTCATATTAGATGCGTGAAGAAGCGCTACAGTGGCGCCAATATAGCGCGCTTGCCGCACTATTATTAGTTTTCATACGATTTCTAGAAGCGCAGTTGCAGCGCTACTACCTTATGAAATCTAGTAGTGGTGCGACGAGCGCGTCACTTCATCGCTTCCTCACGCCTCTTTTGAAGGCCTCAACTGTAAAATTATTGAACAGTGATTTACCTACGTCATGCGAAAAAAAAAACATTTTAAGTTTAACACATCATCATCAATACAGTATACTTTTTTCAGGACTTCTAATATCAGAAATGTCAGCGATGATAACAGCTCATTCGTCTTCGCGGATCGCTTATGACTATGGCATTAACGAGCTGAGAGACGGTCTCCGGGATATGGACCTAAGTGACCACCAAATGAACAAGATGTGGGACTACGTTCGTGAACTGTGGAACAGACAACAAGGCCGGCAGGTAGGTGTATGGTTCAGGCGCATCCACAGCTGAACATAGGATTAGGCCTCACCGAATGATTTCCAGAATGGCCAGTTCGAAGACACCTTGCAGCTTCATACTCTCTACTTTTAACTTTTGTCTTGTATAGCAGGCGCATACCTAATATTTATTTTACAATAAGATTGGACGCATAATTTTAAAAGTAATACCTATTATGTGTGTTGGATGAACATAGCAAAGGTAAAACAAGGAGAATTTTTGCCGAGTAATTAATTGAAAGAGAAGTACAGTCGACAAATCAGACGTTTCATTTTTGTTAATAAATAACACCTGTTAGAATTACATCTCTAAGTAATATGTAAAGAAATAATCTTCCCAGATGCCTGAACTAGTATTTCAACTGCCATTCCGACTGCGCTGTCAAATTATGCAAGCACTGTACGGGTCTCACATAAGAGAGTCCATTATATTCAGCAAAGCAGACGATGATTTCAAGAGGATGCTATCTATGTGGATGAAACATTGCGTGTTTTTTCCTGGGAACTATATTGTACAATGTGGAGATTCCGACCAGTGCATCTACTTCATACATAGAGGCGAGGTATGGAGAAGTTTTAGTTTGAGATTATGCATATAGCTCTGAGCTTTCTAAGAACTAAAAACTGTAACGATTTCTTACGCTCTAGAGCAGTGTTCGGCATACTTTTTGTGTTCAAGGTACATCTAGGAAAGCTAAATTTTTTTGAGGTACATCACAAATCAAAAATCATTTTTAAGTAATTACCTTTGATAATAATTACCCTTGCTTTAACTCAAAATAACTTTATAAGATAACCTTATTTTTCCGAGGCACGCCGCGGTATACCCTTTGCGGAACACTGCTCTAGAGTGTATCTTCAAAGTGAGTCGTAAGAGAGTTACATTTAAATTCACTTTCCTATTTTTAAACCGATTTAAATTTGTTTAACAGGTCGAAGTTCTAACTGTTCATCCCAATTTGACTGAATCAATTTACGATATTTTAGGCCCTGAAGACAGTTTTGGAGTAGCACAGGTATTTAAACACAAGTCGTGTACTGTTACTATTCAATTTAGTTTGGTTATAAGTTTAGAAGTTACTTTTTAAACTATGACTGATCCTTTTTCTGCTCCTAAGTTTGTAAAATTGATATAAAATGTATAATTTCAGGGACTTTATGTAGGTGTGGCTCACCATTTCTCATTCCGAGCTAGGACTGTGGTCGATATTGTGTATTTGAAGCTTGAACAATGGAAGTATTTGCTGGATTTCTATCCCAGATCAGCGAAAATTGTAAAAAAGAAAGTTGAAAATGTCTATTTGGCAATCTAGACAAATGGTTTGTTTTAATTTAAGAATATGAGTAGTTTATTTTAGTTTTTAGTTCTTAAAATACTATAAAATGAAATAAGTATTTTTGAAAAAGTTAAAGAAGTTTTATTTGTACTTTAACCTATCACTTATTAAAATCAACATTGTTTTCTTAGGCGCTTAAATCACAATTAGGTACATGAGGATCAACATAGTAAGTATCGGAATAATCAACATATAAATTAATAGCATTCTACAATACTAACTACTTCAAAGGTAGCGTATATCACTCACAGTGCCTCTTTCTCTTCCTGGTAACCCTTTGGGATATCTCCGGGATAATATCTTGGGTTGTAATATCTTCTGTAGACTGCTGTGTTTGTAGCATTGATGAATTATCCTCATTTTGTTGAGTCAAATCAATTTGCTGAGTCTGGGACAACCTGGAACTGATAGTAAATATTCATTAAAACCTGTACATAACTAAGCAAAGCTTGTCTTTTGAGTACTATACAATAAACAGACGTAAATATATTTTTAAATACCATTCTATTTAATTTACTTATCAAAAACAAATCAGTTGTCAGCAATATTGCCTTAACAAATTCCCTGTCCAGATACCAATTGATCATCACTCCCATAAGTTCATTAGAGTATATAGAATAGTATAATGATAATAAAATTAATATTTATGGTGCATTATTAGTTTTTAACAGCTACAACACCTCTACTCACTCGTCCCAACCTAATGTTTTACACACTGACCCATGAGGTCACCCTTTCCTCATGAACATGTCAGTGGATATTACTGGATATCAGCAATGATGTCAAGGTTTACCTCATGGATAGTGAATGTGCTAAACCCATGCAAAGAAATTGAACTGTTAAAAAATACACTTTTACTTACACTTCTGCACATCGAAGTTGCTCTAACTGTTCAGCACTGAAGTCAGCTTTACAGCACGGCCATTTCTCCACTTTTTCCAAATACTTGTTGAGGCACCTGGTGTGTACTGCTTGCCCACAGGATAAGCAGTTGCAACCCTGAAAGTTTTTAAGTAGAAATATTAATAACATAATAAAAGTTTATAGCAAATGCTAAGGATTGGATAGATAGAACACCTAAAACAATCAAAAAGTACTTGAAAAAGTAAACAAAAAGTACAAAAGCACTTATAACCCGCGCAGGAAAATATATGAACGCGCGCCGATAAGCGCTGATCGGCGCTGACAAGTTTCAACACGCGCTGGTCAGTGCTGGACACTGCCATATAAAATGTCGTTCAACCTGCTTCCTTTGTGAATGAACGGACCAGCACTGACATAATTTTCCAGCTTTCTTTTCGTATGGGGCCTAATAATGGAAGGGAGGTAAAATATTACAATCTGCATCACTGACTTTTTGATTTGGGAATTTGGTACCCTTTGGACCTTATCTTGTGTAACATAATAGGGTAAGTACTTACTCTAAAAACAATTTGTTTGCAAAGACAGCACTCCTCGATTGTATCTGGCATGTTCTGACGAAGGTAACCTTCAAACTCGTGGATTGCTCGCACTCCTAAAGCATAGTTGTTTTGGTCCTTGTCCAGGTATCTCATTCTGCACCAAGTGTTAAGAAGTTTCTGGAATTATTAGAACTTTATTTGAGATTTAAATGCAATGGTTATGTTTCATTTGTAGGTACATAAATGAACATTAGTCTGAATTGTTATCTATCATAATAATATGAGTGGTAACAAACAATAAAAAAAGTTTTTATAATAAGCTTACCATATTTCACTCGGTTTTATTTTTAGAGCCAAAATTAGCCTTCTCCAAGGTTTAGGGATATGGAAGTGGCAGGTAACAGAACAAAGATAAAATAATTTAACCTACTACTGAATTATGAGTATTGTATCAATGTTATTAGCTGATTTATGTCCAGAATTTCAATAGATAAGTAAGATAATAAAAATGAATCACATTGTACACTTACTTGGGCATCAGTTTTAGTAAAAGAGGCTTTCATACCTCCAACTAAGTTTATAGCATGTATACCAGTGATCTGTCTCGCTTCTGTCGTCATGATCTGCTCAATTAGCACCCTGAAGTACTCCAGCTCCGTGGCGTTAAATATATTCTGGGATTTTGTAGCATCATCATAGCCCAGAGAAAGAAATATAACCACTTCTTCATTGGTCAATTCATCATTCGTTATTTTGATGGCTTGTTGCAGAGGTCTGATTTCGTCATTTATTTCTTTTACGAGGTCTTGGACTGAAGACAATTCTTCATCTAGATGTAAAATTAAACCTGGGTAAAGTATGCACAAGAAAGGATTGAAACGCAAAGTATTTTCTGTTTACTTACCGGTAAAAGTAGTGAGAATTTGTTGAGCATCATTTAGTGATATAACACCGCGACTAGCTATTGATCGCAAAAAGAACCGATGTATCTTCCCGTACATAGCGGCGGGATATTTATCTGAATAGTATTAAAATTAAATGGTAAAATAATAACAAAAAGGCGACTGTTTACAAATTTTCTTCAACAAGCAATCGACCGCGAAAAAAAAACTGACAGACGACATTTTGACATTAAGCGTCATTGCTGCCAACATAAGTAACTGAATAGGGACGCCCAGAAAAAATAATTCATCATACATATCGATATTTTAACAGGTACATGATGACCTTTACTGAAACATTAATTTGATGATTTATGATTAGTAGATCTACTATTATTTCATGGTTTCCATAAGGATTCCAGTCATTTTAGAAATTAGGTTTTATGACACCGCACTATCAGACCTCAAACTATATCTTACTCAACAAAATATTGATTTACCGACAGATCCATGCTCGTTTCAATCGACAAACGTTTGAACTCTTGTCAAACTTAATTAGTTTACACAATAATATTATAAGTTATTATTTTATAAACCATGGTAATAACTGTTTTAATTATAATTGAAGGTCTTCTCTGCAATATTATTAACAATTATGATTATAATTCATTCAAGGACATTGATTGGCAATGCTATTATGCTAAAGCCTGGTCCGTGAGCACGTAGAATTTCGTCCAATGACCCCAAGCTACCGAGCCTTATCGCTCGCGCGTAATTATGTTGCTGTCGCACTCGCACTATCACTGCGGGCGCCCGTCGCACAGTCGCACTGTCGCGTTGGGGTCATTGGACAAAATTCTACGTGCTCACGGACCAGGCTTTACATGATTTTAGAGAATCGATATCGACAAAATTCTTTCGTAGACTCTGTCACATCCCTTTTTTTTGTCTTAATGTTGGCAATGTGACACCTGTCATTCTTTTTTTTAAATTGCAGCTCAGCCTGGAATCAATTGGCCATAAACAACGCCATCTATTTATCATTTTATCAAAACTAGTAGCATTTAATAACAACAAAAAGTTGGTTTTTGATACTAGATGGCAATAATTAGTAAAATCATTAAGGTGACTGATTTGAACAAACACCATCATCACAGGCTCACAGCCAACCATANACAGCCATCATAATGTCGTGTATGTTGCAACAACACGCAGCTCGTAAATAATTTATATTATTGTGCACTTTGCAGTAGTTTGCGATTGATAGGTACCTCAATACTCAATACTCAATAAGTTTATTGCTTCCTTTTAATAGTACATTTAGGTGTTTACATTTACCTATTATTATTGTTTGATCTTTCAGAAATTTTGCGTTACATCTAATAAAATTATTCGCTCGTTCGTTTGTTTCAGCCAAATGACGTCGACTGCTGGACAAAGGCATCAAAGGATTTCCACAACGACCGAATCGAATGATGGAATAAGTAAATAAATTTTGGGACTTTAATGGCTGGGTTGCACCATCTTGCTTTAACTTTAACAAACATCAAAAATCTGCCAAACTCCATACAAATAGCACCGGTTAGCGTGATAGTTACGGAATTTACCTAGTAGGTAATTAACTAATTAGCTAGATTTTTCAAATGAAAGTATAAAAATGCTGAGTTGCACACACAACTTTGACGGTAATTATAACGTTAACCGATGTATTTTGTATGGAATTTGACAAATTTTTGACGTTTGTTAAAGTTAAAGTAAGATATTGCGACCCAGCCTAAGATTCCAGCCAGTTTAGCCAAGTCATGATAATTTTTCAGATAGTTTTCTGATAGGTAAGGATCTAGTTAGTTTATCGTGGAAAGGCAATTTTAAACGAGGACATCAGAGCCCCGATTACGGTAATTTTTAACGTCTCTAATCCAGACGCGCTTCATCGATTCTGCGATACGATTGGTCAAAACACAAAAAAAAACAGCGTACCTCAGCTGTTTTGACCAATCGTATCGCAGAATCGATGAAGCGCGTCTGGATTGGAGATGTTAAAAATTACCGTAATCGGGGCTCAGGCTTCCACAATCCAATTTATCAAACATACATTTTTGGTCGTGTCGTGTAACATTCACGATGCAGCTGATAATGGTCATGTTCATGGTCTTCGTGATCCTGAAGTGGGTACCTTGAACTAATACTATGACCAACGACTGAACTACTTTAATAATTTTACGTTTACTCTTGTATTAACCATCAGAGACAATGTCGCCACTAGGAATGATGATAAAGAGTTTTTTCAAATAAATGGTTTCTTTTCATCTAATTTCTGGTTAAAAAGTTATAGTACTTAATTACTTATCTAAGTATTAATAAAATGTTTTAAATATGTTCTAACTATCAAGTCATCAATCAAGCATAAAACAATTTGATTTTATTTGAAGTATTGATCAATCAAGCTACCTTCATAAAAAATGATTCATCTAATTCAAGGACACCCTGTATTAAATTTACCTGTTACAAAACATGTAACATTGTTAAGGAGAGCACAAGTATCTCCAGTAGCCGCAGGCATCGCAGTCCTATTAAAGTCGTAATTGCTTCCCCTTCCTAATTACTGCGTCCTGCCGGTCTTCTCTTATCAATTATAGGACTGTCCCTTGTGAGACCACAACCGCCTATTTTCAAAGGCAAACTTTGCCGATACAAT